TGTAGACAGTGAGTGAATGGGGAGTGTAGCTTGATGTAGACAGTGAGTGAAGGTGAGTGTAGCTTGATGGACACAGTGATGAATGTGAGTGTAGCTTGATGGACAGTGAGTGAATGTGAGTGTAGCTTGATGTAGACAGTGAGTGAATGTGAGTGTAGCTTGATGTAGACAGTGAGTGAATGTGAGTGTAGCTTGATGTAGACAGTGTGTGAATGTGAGTGAAGCTTGATGTAGACAGTGAGTGAATGTGAGTGTAGCTTGACGTAGACAGTGACTGAATGTGAAATGTAGCTGATGTAGACAGCGAGTGAATGTGAGTGTAGCTTGAAGTAGACAGTGAGTGAATGTGACGTAGCTTGATGTGACAGTGAGTAATGTGAGTGTAGCTTGATGTAGACAGGAGCGAATGTGAGTGTATCTTGATGTAGACAGCGAGTGAATGTGAGTGTACTTTGGTGTAAAACAGCGAGTGAATGTGAGTGTACTTGATGTAAACAGCGAGTGAATGTGAGTGTAGCTTGATGTAGACAGCGAGTGAATGTGAGTGTAGTTTGATGTAGACAGTGAGCGAATGTGAGTGTAGCTTGGTGTAGACAGTGAGTGAATGTAAGTGTAGCTTGATGTAGACAGCGAGTGAATGTGAGTGTAGCTTGATGTAGACAGCGAGTGAATGTGAGTGTAGCTTGATGTAGACAGCGAGTGAATGTGAGTGTAGCTTGATGTAGACAGCGAGTGAATGTGAGTGTAGCTTGGTGTAGACAGCGAATGAATGTGAGTGTAGCATGATGTAGACAATGAGTGAATGTGAGTGTAGCTTGATGTAGACAGTGAGTGAATGTGAGTGTAGCTTGATGTAGACAGTGAGTGAATGTGAGTGTAGCTTGATGTAGACGTGAGTAATGTGAGTGTAACTTGATGTAGAGAGTGAGTGAATGTGAGTGTAGCTTGATGTAGACAGTGAGTGAATGTGAGTGTAGCTTGATGTAGAGAGTGAGTGAATGTGAGTGTAGCTTGATGTAGAGAGTGAGTGAATGTGAGTGTAGCTTGGTGTAGACAGCGAGTGAATGTGAGTGTAGCTTGATGTAGACAGTGAGTGAATGTGAGTGTAGCTTGATATAGACAGCGAGTGAATGTGAGTGTACTTGATGTAGACAGTGAGTGAATGTTTAGTGTACTTGATGTAGACAGTGATGAAAGTGGAGTGTAGCTTGATGTAGACAGTGAGTGAATGTGAGTGTAGCTTGATGTAGACAGTGAGTGAATGTGAGTGTAGCTTGATGTAGACAGTGAGTGAATGTGAGTGTAGCTTGGTGTAGACAGCGAGTGAATGTGAGTGTAGCTTGATGTAGACAATGAGTGAATGTGAGTGTAGCTTGATGTAGACAGTGAGTGAATGTGAGTGTAGCTTGATGTAGACAGTGAGTGAATGTGAGTGTAGCTTGATGTAGACAGTGAGTGAATGTGAGAGTAGCATGATGTAGACAGTGAGTGAATGTGAGTGTAGCTTGATGTAGACAGTGAGTGAATGTGAGTGTAGCTTGATGTTTGACATGAGTGAATGTGAGTGTAAACTTGATGTAGACAGTGAGTGAATGTGAGTGTACTTGATGTAGACAGTGATGAATGTGAGTGTAGCTTGAAAGTAGACAGGGAGTGAATGTGAGTGTAGCTTGATGTAGACAGGGAGTGAATGTGAGTGTAGCTTGATGTAGACAGGGAGTGAATGTGAGTGTAGCTTGATGTAGACAGTGAGTGAAGTTGTGTAGCTTGATGTAGACAGTGAGTGAATGTGAGTGTAGCTTGATGTAGACAGTGAGTGAATGTGAGTGTAGCTTGATGGAGACAGTTAGTGAATGTGAGTGTAGCTTGATGGAGACAGTGAGTGAATGTGAGTGTAGCTTGATGTAGACAGTGAGTGAATGTGAGTGTAGCTTGATGTAGACAGTGAGTGAATGTGAGAGTAGCTTGATGTAGACAGTGTGTGAATGTGAGTGAAGCTTGATGTAGACAGTGAGTGAATGTGAGTGTAGCTTGACGTAGACAGTGACTGAATGTGAGTGTAGCTTGATGTAGACAGCGAGTGAATGTGAGTGTAGCTTGAAGTAGACAGTGAGTGAATGTGACTGTAGCTTGATGTAGACAGTGAGTGAATGTGAGTGTAGCTTGATGTAGACAGTGAGCGAATGTGAGTGTAGCTTGATGTAAACAGCGAGTGAATGTGAGTGTAGCTTGATGGGAGACAGCGAGTGAATGTAGTGTAGTTTGATGTAGCAGTGAGCGAATGTGAGTGTAGCTTGGTTTTAGACAGTGAGTGAATTTAAGTGTAGCTTGATGTAGACAGCGAGTGAATGTGAGTGTAGCTTGATGTAGACAGCGAGTGAATGTGAGTGTAGCTTGATGTAGACAGCGAGTGAATGTGAGTGTAGCTTGATGTAGACAGCGAGTGAATGTGAGTGTAGCTTGGTGTAGACAGCGAATGAATGTGAGTGTAGCATGATGTAGACAATGAGTGAATGTGAGTGTAGCTTGATGTAGACAGTGAGTGAATGTGAGTGTAGCTTGATGTAGACAACGAGTGAATGTGAGTGTAGCTTGATGTAGACAATGAGTGAATGTGAGTGTAGCTTGATGTAGACAGTGAGTGAATGTGAGTGTAGCTTGATGTAGACAGTGAGTGAATGTGAGTGTAACTTGGTGTAGACAGCGAGTGAATGTGAGTGTATCTTGGTGTAGACAGCGAATGAATGTGAGTGTAGCATGATGTAACAAGATGAATGTTGAGTGTAGCTTGATGTAGACAGTGAGTGAATGTGAGTGTAGCTTGATGTAGACAACGAGTGAATGTGAGTGTAGCTTGATGTAGACAATGAGTGAATGTGAGTGTAGCTTGATGTAGACAGGAGTGAATGTTTAGTGTAGCTTGATGTAGACATTTAGTGAATGTGAGTGTAACTTGGTGTAGACAGCGAGTGAATGTGAGTGTAACTTGGTGTAGACAGCGAGTGAATGTGAGTGTAACTTGGTGTAGACAGCGAGTGAATGTGAGTGTAACTTGGTGAGACAGCTAGTGAATGTGAGTGTAACTTGGTGTAGACTGCGAGTGAATGTGAGTGTAGCTTGAAGTAGACAGCGAGTGAATGCGAGTGTAACTTGGTGTAGACAGTGAGTGAATGTGAATGTAGCTTGATGTAGACAGCGAGTGAATGTGAGTGTAGCTTGATGTAGACAGTGAGTGAATGTGAGTGTAGCTTGATGTAGACAGGAGTGAATGTGAGTGTAGATTGATGTAGACAGTGAGTGAATGTGAGTGTAACTTGGTGTAGACAACGAGTGAATGTGAGTGTAGCTTGAAGTAGACAGCGAGTGAATGTGAGTGTAGCTTGAAGTAGACAGTGAGTGAATGTGAGTGTAGCTTGATGTAGACAGTGAGTGAATGTGAGTGTAGCTTGATGTAGACAGTGAGTGAATGTGAGTGTAGCTTGATGTAGACAGCGAGTGAATGTGAGTGTAGCTTGATGTAGACAGTGAGTGAATGTGAGTGTAGCTTGGTGTAGACAACGAGTGAATGTGAGTGTAGCTTGATGTAAACAGCGAGTGAATGTGAGTGTAGCTTGATGTAGACAGTGAGTGAATGTGAGTGTAGCTTGGTGTAGACAACGAGTGAATGTGAGTGTAGCTTGATGTAAACAGCGAATGAATGTGAGTGTAGCTTGATGTAGACAGTGAGTGAATGTGAATGTAGCTTGATGTAGACAGTGAGTGAATGTGAGTGCAGCTTGATGTAGACGCGGTGAAGTGAGTGTAGCTTGATGTAGACAGTGAGTGAATGTGAGTGTAGATTGATGTAGACAGTGAGTGAATGTGAGTGTAACTTGGTGTAGACAGCGATTGAATATTAGTGTAGCTTTATGTAGACAGTGAGTGAATGTGAGTGTAGCTTGATATAGACAGTGAGTGAATGTGAGTGTAGCTTGATATAGACAGTGAGTGAATGTGAGTGTAGCTTGATATAGACAGTGAGTGAATGTGAGTGTACCTTGATATAGACAGTGAGTGAATGTTAGTGTAGCTTTATGTAGACAGTGAGTGAATGTTAGTGTAGCTTGATGTACACAGTGAGTGAGTGTGAGTGTAGCTTGATGAAGACAGCGAGTGAATGTGAGTGTAGCTTGATGAAGACAGCGAGTGAATGTGAGTGTAGCTTGATGTAGACAGTGAGTGAATGTGAGTGTAGCTTGATATAGACAGTGAGTGAATGTGAGTGTAGCTTGATATAGACAGTGAGTGAATGTGAGTGTAGCTTGATATAGACAGCGAGTGAATGTGAGTGTAGCTTGATGTAGACAGTGAGTGAATGTGACTGTAGCTTGATGTATACAGTGAGTGAATGTGAGTGTAGCTTGACGTAGACAGTGAGTGAATGTGAGTGTAGCTTGATGTAGACAGCGATTGAATATGAGTGAATATATATATATATATATATATATATATATATATATATATATATATATATTATATATATATATATATATATATATATTATATATATATATATATATATATATATATATATATATATGTATATATATATATATATATATATATATATATATATATATATATATATATATATATATATATATATATATATATGTGTATATATATATATATATATATATATATATATATATATATATATATATATATATATATATATATATATATATATATATATATATATATATATATATATATATACATATATGGCAAGACAAGCCACAGGAGGTGGAAGGAAATCTTCAGCTCAAATACTTTCACAGTTCTCAGTGCATCATCAGGAGCTGTGCGATGTTGCAATGGCAGCAACAGGAGATATTGGGTAATTTTTTTCAGGGTATGGTAACTCAGTGGCACCAGCATAATATATATATATGTGTTGTGTGTTGTATTGTTGCATAACGTGGACTACAGCGTTCGTTAAACTTTTTTCTGATACTCACTTGGAGAACTTGTCTGGGAAGAGTGGGAGATGGGATGTAAAAACAAGACCACGCTGAGTGGTCCAGGAGGCCACTTGTAGGGGCTTCTCTCCCCGGGGACTGTATGGAAGATACACGTACACACTGCACCTGTAACAGAATGTAATCCCTGAAACATTCTGTCCCTATCCACCCTGTCAATTCTTCTCAGTATTTTATATTTTGTTATCATGTCCCCCTGTCCCTCCTGTTTTCCAGTGTTATCAGGTTGAGTTCCCTTAACGTTTTCTAGAATGACAAGCCCTTCACTTCTGGGACTAGTCTCCTTTACAATTTCTCTAATTTTTTGACGTGTCTGACCAGGTTTGAGTTCCAAACTGGTGATAAAAACTGCAATATGGGCCTGACGTACACGGTGTACAATGTCGTGAATGATTTTTTACTTAGATGTCGAAACCCTATTCTCAGGTTTGTGAGGCGCCCATTTGCTTCAGCAGTTATTTCGTTGATGTGCGCCTCAGGAGATGTGCTCTGCATGATGCTTACTACAAGATCCTTTTCCTTGAGCAAGTTTTGCGGCCTTTGATCTCTTAGTGTGTACTCCATCTGCGGTCTTTGTCCTTCCCCAATCTTCATAACTTTAAACTCCAGAAACCATTTGTCAGACCAGGCATGCAGAGTGTCCACAGCCACTTGTAGGTTTACCTTATCCTCTTCTGCTTGTGTTCTCCTCATTAGTTTCATATCATCTTCAGAGACACCTCTGACTATCCCTTCCGTCATATATACAAGATTCGGCACCGGATTTATGACTGACCCTTGTAGTACCCCACTCGACACATGCACCCACTCTGACACCTCGTCTCAGACCGACACACGTTGTTTCCTTCCTGTCAGATATTCCACTTCAGAACTTTCCCTCCTATTCCTGCCTGCTCCTCTAGTTTTAAAACGAGTCTCTTGTGTGGTACTGTGTCGAAAGCCTTCTCACAGTCCAAGAAGATACAGTCTACCCATCCTACTGTCTTGTCTTACTTCTGTTACCTTGTCATAGAACTCCAATAGGTTCAAGATGTAGGATTTCTCTTCCTGAAGCTGTATTGCTTATCACTGGTTAGTCCATTCGTTCTAGGCGCTCTTTTCTTAGTAATTTTCTCCATAACTTTACATACAATACATGTCAGTGACACTGTTCTCAAAAATCAGGACTACATTTGCTATATTCCACACCTCAGGCAGTTGCTCTGTTTCACTAGATTTATTGAAGATTGTTGTTAGTGGTGAACACAATGCGTGTGTGTGTGTGTAATCACCTAATTGTGGTTGCAGGGGTCGATACTCAGCTTCTGGCCCCGCCTCTTCACTGAACGCTACTTGGTCCTCTCTCCCCCTGCACCATGAGCTTGATCGTACCTCGTCTTAAAGCTACATATGGTTCCTGCCTCCACTACGTCACTTGCCAGACTATTCCACTTCCTAACAACTCTATGACTGAAGAAATACTTGCTAACATCCCTTTGAGTCATCTGAGTCCTCATCTTCCAAGCGTGACCCCTTGTTGCTGTGTCCCATCTCTGGAACATCCTGTCTCTGTCTACCTTGTCGATTTCTCCCAGTATTTTATATGTCGTTATCATATCCCTTCTGTCTCTCCTCTCCTCCGGTGTCGTCAGGTCGATTTCCCGTAACCTCTCCTCGTAGGACATACTCCTTAGCTCCGGGAAAAGTTTCGTTGCACTCTCTCTAATTTTCATACTTGCTTGGGTAGGTGCAGATTCCAAACTGGTGCTGCAAACTCTAATATGGGCCTGAAGTACATGGTGTACAGGGTCGTGAACGATTCCTTACTGAGATTTTGGAATGCTATTCTTAGGTTTGCCAGGCGTCCACATGCTGCAGCAGTTATTTGGTTGACGTGCGCCTCAGGACAAGTGCTTGGTATTATTCTCACTTCAAGATCCTTTTCCGTGAGTGAGGTTTGTAGCTTCTGGCTTCCAGACTGTACTCCGTATGCAGTTTTCTTTGCCCTTTTATAATCTTCATGACTTTTCACTTGGTACGGTTGAACTCTAGGGGCCAGTTTCTGTACAAGGCCTGCAGCATGTCTAGATACCTTTGTAGTATTGCCTTGTCCTCCTCCCATTGAATTTTTCTCATTAACTTCACATCGTCGAAAACGGACAATTCTGAGTCTATTCCTTCCGTCATGGCTTTCAAACACACTCCAAACAGCACCGGTCTTAGAACTGACTACGCTCGTCAGAGGCCCCCATTCGTCATGTACAATGACTCCCTGTTGCCTTCCTGTCAGGTATTCTCTGATCCATTGCAGTGTCTTCCTTGTTATACATGTCTGGTCCTCTAGTTTTCGCACTAATCTCTTGTGTGGAACTGTGTCAAAAGCCTTCTTACAGTCTAAGAAAACGCAGTCTACCCACCCCTCTCTCTCTCTTGTTTTACTGCTACCACCCTGTCATAAAACTCCAGTAGGTTTGTGACGCAGGATTTCTCATCTCTGAAACCGTGCTGGTTGTCGTTGATAAGCTCATTCCTTTCTAGGTGCTCCACCACTCTTCTGATAATCTTCTCCATGACTTCGCATACTATACATGTCAATGACACTGGTCTATAGTTTAATGTTTCGCATCTGTCTCCTTTTCTGAAAACTGGGACTGCAAAAGCTGTCTTCCATAACTCAGGGAGTCTCTTTTTTTTTTGATAGACGAGTTGATGATTGCCGATAGTACTTCAGAGAGCACCTCTGCTTCCTCTCACAAGACTCATGGAGAGATGTTATCCGGCCCCATCGCTATTGAGGTATCTAGCTCACTAAGCAACCTCTTCACTTCTTCCTCGGTTGTAAGTATTGTGTACAACACTTGATGGTGTACCCCACCTCTCTGTCTTCTGGAGTTCTCTGCCTCCTCTGTGAATACTTTGAATATCATGTTGAGTTCCTCACATACTTCATGGTCGTTTCTTGTGATCTTCCATCCTTCCTCTAGTTGATTTCCTCGTCCCTGGCTTCTGTTTTCCTCCTGATGTGGCTGTACCACAGCTTCGGATCAGATTTGGCTTTCGCTGCTATGTCATTTCTGTGTGTGTGTGTGTGTGTGTGTGTGTGTGTGTGTGTGTGTGTGTGTGTGTGTGTGTGTGTGTGTGTGTGTGTGTGTGTGTGTGTGTGTGTGTGTGTGTGTGTGTGTGTGTGTGTGTGTGTGTGTGTGTGTGTGTGTGTGTGTGTGTTTGTGTGTGTGTGTGTGTGTGTGTGTGTGTGTGTGTGTGTGTGTGTGTGTACTCACCTAATTGTACTCACCTAATTGTGGTTGCAGGGGTCGAAACTCAGCTCCTGGCCCCGCCTCTTCACTGATCGCTACTGGATCCTCTCTCTCTCTGCTTCCTGAGCTTTGTCATACCTCTTCTTAAAACTATGTATGGTTCCTGCCTCCACTACTTCACTTGCTAGGCTATTCCACTTGCTGACAACTCTATGACTGAAGAAATACTTCCTAACGTCCCTGTGACTCGTCTGAGTCTTCAGCTTCCAGTTGTGACCCCTTGTCCCTGTGTCCCCTCTCTGGAACATCCTATCTCTGTCCACCTTGTCTATTCCCCGCAGTATCTTGTATGTCGTTATCATGTCTCCCCTGACCCTTCTGTCCTCCAGTGTCGTCAGTCCGATTTCCCTTAACCTTTCCTCGTACGGCATTCCCTTGAGCTCTGGGACTAGCCTTGTTGCAAACCTTTGTACTTTCTCTAACTTCTTGACGTGCTTGACCAGGTGTGGGTTCCAGACTGGTGCTGCATACTCCAGTATGGGTCTAACATACACAGTGTACAGTGTCTTGAACGATTCCTTATTAAGGTATCGGAACGCTATTCTCAGGTTTGCCAGGCGCCCGTATGCTGCAGCGGTTATTTGGTTGATGTGTGCCTCCGGTGATGTGCTCGGTGTTATGCTCACCCCAAGGTCTTTCTCCCTGAGTGAGGTCTGTAGTCTTTGTCCACCTAGCCTATATTCTGTCTGCGGTCTTCTTTGCCCCTCCCCAATCTTCATGACTTTGCATTTGGCTGGATTGAATTCGAGGAGCCAGTTACTGGACCACATGTCCAGCCTCTCCAGGTCTCTTTGCAGTCCTGCCTCATCCTCGTCCGATTTAATTCTTCTCATCAACTTCACGTCATCTGCGAACAGGGACACTTCAGAGTCTATTCCTTCCATCATGTCGTTCACATATATCAAAAATAGCACTGGTCCTAGAACTGACCCTGTGGGACCCCGCTCATAACAGGCGCCCACTGTGATACCTCTTCACGTACCATGACTCGTTGCTGCCTCCCTGTCAGGTATTCCCTTATCCATTGCAGTGCCCTTCCTTTTACGTGTGCCTGATCCTCCAGCTTCTGCACTAATCTCTTGTGGGGAACTGTGTCAAAGGCCTTCCTGCAGTCTAGGAAAACGCAATCTACCCAACCCTCTCTCTCGTGTCTTACTTCTGTTACCTTGTCATAAAACTCCAGGAGGTTTGTGATACAAGATTTGCCTTCAATGAACCCATGCTGGTTTTCATTTATAATCTTGTTCCTTTCCAAGTGTTCGACCACTCTCCTCCTGATAATCTTCTCCATGACTTTGCACACAATACATGTCAGTGACACAGGTCTGTAGTTTAGTGCCTCGTTTCTGTTTCCTTTCTTAAATATGGGGACTACATTAGCTGTCTTCCATTTCTCAGGTAGTTGCCCAGTTTCAAGGGATGTGTTGAAGATTGTGGTTAGAGGCACACACAGCATCTCTGCTCCTTCTCTAAGGACCCATGGGGAGATGTTGTCCGGTCCCATCGCCTTTGAGGTGTCAAGGTCACTTAAGAGCTTCTTCACCTCCTCCTCAGTTGTTCGTATGTCATCCAACACTTGTTGGTATATTCCCTCTTGATGTTCCCTTCTGTGCTGTCTTCCCACAGCCCTTCCTGTCTCTACTGTAAAAACTTCCTTAAATCTCCTGTTCAGCTCCTCACATACCTCCTGATCATTTCTTGTGAGTTCTCCACCTTCTGTCCTTAATCTGATCACCTGGTCTTTGACTGTTGTCTTCCTCCTGATGTGGCTATACAACAGTTTCGGGTCAGTCTTGATTCTCGATGCTATGTCATTTTCATACTGTCGCTGGGCCTCCCTCCTTACCTGTGCGTACTCGTTCCTGGCTCTGCGACTGATCTCCCTATTTTCGTGTGTTCTCTGCCTTCTGTACTTTTTCCATTCTCTATTGCACTTTGTTTTTGCCTCCTTACACCGTCGGGTAAACCAGGGGCTTGTTCTGGTCTTCCCGTTGTTACTGTTGCCCTTGGGAATGAACCTTTCCACTGCCTCCTTGCATTTTGTTGCTACATATTCCATCATGTGTGTGTGTGTGTGTGTGTGTGTCAGTGTGTGTGTGTGTGTGTGTGTGTGTGTGTGTGTGTGTGTGTGTGTGTGTGTGTGTGTGTGTGTGTGTGTGTGTGTTTGCATGTGTGTTGATCTGTTTAATTACCTACATAGTGGTGATCTAACTTCCACGTAAGAATGTGTCTCATAAATAGTGCTTCTACTATCTCTACGAGGTGCTATCAAAAAGTTCCTGGACTATCACGTAAGAAAATATATAGGCTTATTTAATCACGTATTTGAAGTTGTCTCCATGGAAATACTCTCCTTGTGAAGCTATGCACTGATCCTAGCTCCTGTGCCACTTTTCAAAACATTTTTGGAACTCTTCTAATGGCGTTTAGCAGGTCCTTCAATCCTGCTTGAATCTCCTCCAGGTCGTTAAGTACCGCCCTTTGATTGTCATTTTAATTTTAAGGTTTGAGAAGAGAAATAAATCACAGTGGGCTTGACCTGGGGAGTAGGGAGGGTGGGGGACGCCCACAATGTTAATTTTGGCCAAAAAAAGAAGGATTTCCTAGTCATGAGGCAGCAAACGGGGCATAAATTTTGCAGTTACTTGCCCCAGGTTCAAATTTCCAGTCAAGATGCTTACCATGACCCATAAGAAGAGCCTTCCTTACTTTTCAATGTTCGTGTCTGTTTATGATGCTGATGGACGATCTTATCGTTCATCATCCTCAACTTAAATTCTTCCTCCATCGAATCGACAAAACCAATCAGATGACTGTCTCCATCAAACTGTTTCTTCGCCAAACGCTTATTGAAGTTTTTCTTAAGTTTTGCAAGCCGTTTTACCGAGGTTAAAATAGAATTTCGCACATGCACTCTTTTTTTTTAAATTCCGTTGTGTTATACTAAAAATCGCATCAATGCAATGATAACAGAATAAATGTCTGACTAGCTTCAACATGATGGCAGACTGCACTGAAACTCGCCACGCTGCTTCACATAGTGTACTTCTCAACATAATTTATGCTGCCGCCATATTTCACCCAGGAAGGGCGTGAAAATTCTAGACCGGGAAATTTTTGATAGCTTCTCGTATATTCTTTAATCCAAATTTCCATATAAAAATGTTTATCACCTGGCATTTGCTGTGTCGTCGTTGATAACAACTAATACAGAATTCGTCATGGAGAGAATTGCTTGGTGATCCTGCAGTTCCTTAATGTGAGAACGAGTTACGATCAGCAACCTTGTTGACCACACAAATATGTGGAACTTGAGGGACAATTCAACGAAGGCAGCTAAGAAGGCTGAGTCGTCACTCATCACAACCACTGTCATGTACAATGATATTTGCTGCAGCTGTTAATGTAATAATTAAAGTGCCATTAATCACAGATATCTTAAACGGGATGTGGATTTAAGCAGACAAACAAAATGTGTAGCAGCAATCTCTGTTGTTAGCCAGTAATTTGAGTTGATTTAATGTTATATGATGTTACCTGATACTTTTTTATTTTGAGTTACAATATATACAGTACACTAGTTCCCTACCTGGTGCTTCAAGAATATAAAAATTATTTCATGCTAAATGTTACGTAAACAACTTACCTGCTTAACTTTTTCTACTGTTAATAAGTGATGATTGTCTTTTTTGTCAAAATCTGAAAAATTAGTTATTGCTTCAAAAATCCCGACTCCTCCTGGAAACCGTATGCTGTTTGTTATCTGAAAATATATTTTCATATGTAAGGTTTTCTCAAAATATGTAGATCGTCCTCGTAGAATTTAGCTTAAAACTGCGTCAAGCTGCTCAACCTGGAAGTTGCAGTTTATTACTAGTAAGAATAAATGTGGCCAGAAAGAAGTTAATACATTTTGTAAACATTCGAAATTCAATTAAGATGGAGTTTGGTTTGGAGACATATTTCACTGGACAAAATATTAAGGAAAGCAACTTTTTTATAGGCATTTCGAATATGGGCACACGGGTACACAACTGGCCATGAGACAAGACACCAGCAAGGAAATAATTAAGACAATAATTAAGACAATAATAATTAAGACAATAATAATTAAGACAAAGATAAACGCTGAAGATAGTTGACTGAGTGACTAAATACTATCACTACCAATATTTACAGTACGCAAGAGAGCAGTAATACAGGCAGATGTTTAACAGGTAATATTGAAATTAAATAGTGAGTTTGCTCATTGCTATTGTTTTATTAACTCATTTTAAAGAGATAAGAAAGTTTAATTGCAAGACTGTCCTCCAAGACAGTGTATGTATGAAGTCAAGTTGTCTGCAGGTCACCTGATTGATTGATATTTGTAACTACTACACCTTCAGAGTAAAGCTGTGGAGCCCAAACTGTTATAGGACAATAACTATTGGGTTTAGGTTGATTATAAAGGGAATGCAAAACATGGTTGTGATAAACATTGAATAAACATAACGTTTTTGGTGCACACTTTACCATTATCCCAGAACACTGTTACAACTGGGTTTTATTCGCATCTGTTAGATGGGTAGTGACTCAAGAAATCGTAATGACACGATTGCAAATAAACCATACCCCCGGCCGGGATTGAACCCGCGGTCATAGAGTCTCAAAACTCCAGCCCGTCGCGTTAGCCACTAGACCAGCTAGCCACAATAAGATTCATCCAACTAGGTATATTTCTACACCATAGGAAGGTTAGCACAGGCACCTCTGTGACCACAAATGCAAGTTTTTACAGACGAATCTCCAGCTAGCGTGGCCGTGACGAACTCTAGCTCAAGTCCCTTCACTGCCGTCAACGCGACGGGCTGGAGTTTTGAGACTCTATGACCGCGGGTTCAATCCCGGCCGGGGGTATGGTTTAGATGGGTAGTGCACTGCCATGATACAAATAAACTAGCTAATGGTACTGGTTTTCCTTTCGAGTCATCCTATTCACCTTGCAGTACGAGAATTTATAGATAAAAGTTTGTAAATAGATAGCTTTAAAGTCAAAACTTTGCCACATGAAGAAACAGCAGAGATTAGGACAAACATCAGTCCAAGGCACTTGAAAATGACAATAACGTGGCTCATCACTAAAAATCCTAGTACCTATACACAGTAAAGTTTTGACTTAGTCTTAAGGCCCAGAGCATGAGGTAAATGTTGTTATTCCACATGGGTTAAGGTAAGTCAGCGGGTTGTAATCACTGAACACGGAGATGATGATACATAGATGTCAAAGTGTTCCAGCACCATAGCCACAGCTAAGGTCTCTTCCTTTATAGTAGAGTATTCCCATTGATGTGGCTTAGGTTTGGCTGGAAGTAGCTTCAAGATATAAAGATCCCTCCCTATATACTTGATGAAGAGCTTCATAAACTCCCATTTCAAGACAGTCAACTGTAAGAAAAATGTACTTGAATAATCTCGTGATATAAATGTTCCATCGTCAGGAATAATTCACGAGATTTTATATCATGGCAACTTTGTAATTCTAGGTGGTCATAGTGTTAGCTGTGTTATGCAGCTGTCTTTTTCTTGCCCTACTAAGAGATCCAAGAAAAGTGACACAGGACTGACTAAATGTGGATTTATTGAGAGTTACAGTAAGTTGAAACTTCATAAACCTATCAAAAATATATCTGAAATATACGTGAGTCCTAGTTATCAGGAGCTAGTAATTCATCTAGGTATGACTGAGTGGCTACTAATCCCTCTATTGCTACAAGAATCAATTTTTTAAATGTGACAGGTTCCTTGCACATGAAGAAAGAAAATTTACCCCTCTTGAGAAAATTTATCCCCCTTGAACTGCAAAAGCTGAGATCTCCTTAGTCATGTCTGTTAGTGGTTCTTGATATAAGTCTCTGAGGTCTAATGTAGAAATGAACTTGGCTTTACCCAAGAAATTGTCAGTGTCGTCCATGTGTGAAAGTGAGGAGGAATCTGGGACCAAAACTTCATTCATCTTCCAGCAGTCAGTAAACATCCAAAGTCCTCTGTCTCGTTAATTACTGAGGATGCAAGGCAAACTGCACAGACTTAAAAAAAAATCTACTAACTTACGCTCCCGTAGGAAATTTATCTTATTTTGCAGTAATTTCAGCTTCTCTGGTATTGTGATGCCCACGTCAACATCACGACACCCCAGATATTATACTTTTTCAGAAGATCCAAAACTATGTCGGCATAGGTTTGCTGTAATATCAGCCATCTGTGCTTCCAAAATGACGGACACGAGCAGTTATACTTTGACTCCAAGGATTTTTGCAGTGTGTCAGACACAACATCGACATCCGTTAAGAACAGAAGATATGGTAGTAATGGGGCAATGAGGTTTCCCAAATTTTTTCAACTAATGTATTAGGCTTTACCTATCACAGGTTTGTCAATAGGGAGATACCACATAGGTAATGTTAGACATCTTCCCTACCACCTGCATTGGGCCACTAAATAGTGCGTTCAAGGTCTGACTTTATCCCTTGTTTTAAAGAAAAAGGGTTTAGATATCTTGCCATTACTTAGTTTTGTGTCACTGGCACCTCTTGGAGTACCTGCTAAGGTTCTTTTGTCAAATATTTCCTCAAAAGGACTGTACCCAGTAGATTCTTGAACATTCTCACAGCAGAAACCCCTAAAGGCAGGAATCATCTCAGTCTGTAGAAAAAATCAGGCAGTAAACATGCCTATTGTCTTCGAGGTTGAATGACCCTTTTAAGGGACCTTTGTGACTGAGGGTGATTAACTAATGAGAAAAATTAATGTAAAGATAGCATAGAACCTCACTAAATAATTTGACTTTAAAATAACCTAGGTACTTTGAATAGTTCTTGATATTTCCATTTGGGATATGAACTTAATGAAGACCTTTAAGATGACTTTTGTGTAAAGACTGACCTTAAACATTGGTCTTAAATATTAACGTGAAAAAAAATTGATTACCTCATTGCATCGATAATTCTCCCAAAACTTCTTTCTTCAAATAGGCTTTATAATACTTGCATCAAATAAATACCTAACAAAGGACCCTCTTAGATAATTCACCAGAAGCTTCAAGAAGAATGTTTTTATTAAGGTATTATATAAAGTAAGATGTACCCCGTTCCTTCATGAGACTTGTTAATCTTTTCAGGAGGGACTGAATTGTTTTAAACTAGTTTTCCCATACTATACTAGGGAGGCCATTCACTCGTCCACCCCATTCTGGAAATGGAAGTATATGTTACCATAGAAATATTTCCAATGGGTTTCTGATTATTGGATTTACTGCTTCATAAAGACTCTCTTGGGTTTGAAACAGCGTGTGATTAGATGGGCGGTCTTATGGCGATATTTCCACCTCCCATCCCCTTAGGTCTTGTCTCTGCTAGTAGTTGTATACGACTTATGTGATGAATGGTCACAGTTCTTTATCTTGCCTATGACTGTTCTTCAGAGGGATGTTGTGGCTCACCCATGGCCTCATTTTTCATCCCGCCGTCAGAACTTTTTCCCCAATGCCCTTTGTTACCAAAATACTGTTGGGAAGAAACTGGTGAGCTTTCTCACAAAGATATCTATCAGCCTCAAATCTATCGTTCAATTTTAATTTTTCCAAGAAAGAGTATAAGGAAGACACGAACGTCGTTACTAGAGAATCAATGAAGTTATCCAAGAATTCAGCTGTACCACATATCTGAAAATTGACACTCCTCCTTCTTTGTACCTCTGACTATATTTTGGACTGTTGTCTAGCAAAATCTACACAAGTTTGTCCTGGTTTATGGCTATTCAACTGAAACTCACGTCTATATCTATATGGTATAGATAGATAGCACTGAAAACACCATAGCCTACACTACGCCATAATTAGTAAAGTTCTCATGACATGCTAGAAGTTAATTCCGGAACCTTCCCATTTAACTAGTGAAGACAAGTGTTTGATTGGCCACTGTAGAGCTCGATCCTGATTTTTGAACGATTCGAAAAATTGCTCAGTATCTGATTCAAATATACGACATACCAAAGATAAAGATTTTTATACATTAAAATGATTATTCAGGTTCGACACTAATGTCTTCTCTCCTTTTTTCTAACATATTCTTAATTATCGAAAGAAAAACTTTGCCAATTCGAATGCCAACGAAGCAGACAAACGCTGAGCCAAACCTGATCAACTGATGTTTACCCCTACAAGTGGTGAATTATATGGCAAACTTTAAGGAATGTGATTACTTCCATTATGAGAAAGACAACGGAGTTGGGAATGGAGACCAGAACAAGTTCCCCGTGTAGAAGATAAACCAAATGTTTAATGAATCATAACCTCTTAGCTCACAGTGAATTAGTTTACAAAGCTGTGCAACAGCTGAAGTCCGATGACTGTCAATGTCATTAGAACAAGAAATACGTCAGTTGCTCTACATAAATAATCTGGGAAGAGTTTGGAATGTACAAACATTTGACATGTACCGGTGACATTAGCGAACTAACATTAAAACAAAATAACAAGACACAGGCAGTAAAACAAGAACTAGAATGTAAGGCAGCAGACACGTCATACAGCAGGAAAGTATACAAGACGAGGGCAAACAAACTTACTAAAACAAGAAAATGGTCTTCGACTGGTGCTCATATTACGAACACAAGTACAATTAGATGACTTGTAGTACTTGGCCTGAAGACAAGTCACCAGTAAAGGAATAATGAAGAGTTATAAACAAAAATGTTCATGAATATTCCCACCACTAACATTTACAAAGATGCAAACACAGTAAATGTAGGCCTAGATCACATTAGTAAGTACTGTAATAACACAGAGAGGAAATATTAGTTTGTTCACTGTTATTGGTTCATAAACTCTTACATAAGAGACCAGTATGTGTAATCAGCCAGAGCAAGTGAGAGACTGTCCACCAGACCAGAATGAAGGTATAAAATCATGTCATCTGAAGGTCAGTTCCTTACCATGATTGGTGCGATTTTGGGGCCCTAACACCTGTACAGCAATAATTATTGGTCTATTATGAAAGAGAGAATGCAGTTCGTGTTTGTATGATCTTATCTCTTATGCCAAATGAACGTAACATACACTCTATTGCATGCCACAATAGACATTTGCCTCTATATAAATTAAAATCATCATAATTCGGTATAATTATACTAATTTTTCTTAAAATCTTCAGCACTTGCCTTGACGACAGTGGAGGATGAGACAGTGCCATCAGTGATCAAAGCAACAGAGGAGCTGCCATGTGAAGCCGAACTCAGCACAGCCTCCACCACCTGAGTTGTCAGCCCAGCTTTCATGACTTGCGTTATGAGCTTAGCCTTCACTGTCAGTTTTGTCAGGCCAGCCTCCATCATCTGGGTTGTCAGTCCGGTGTTTACCACTTGTGTTGTCAGTCCAGCCTTCACTACTGCAGGAAAATCTGATGATAAAAAAGGTCCTTTTTGAGTTTACCCCTTCTTATTCACGTCACTTCCCTGATAACTTTATAGCCCGCGGCCGGGTCCATGACCAGGCCTCGCGGTGGATCAGGGTCTGATCAACCAGGTTGTTACTACTGGCTGCACGTTAACCGATATACGAACCACGGCCCAGCTAGTCAGGTACTGACTTGAGGTGTCTGTCCAGTTCCCTCTTGAAGACAGCCAGGGGTTTGTCAGTAATGCACCTTTTGTATGCCTAGAGGCAGTTGAACGGTCTTGGGCCCCTGACACTTAATGTGTTGTCAATTAATGTACTCGTGGTACCCCTGATTTTCACGGGGGTGATGTTGCAACGACTGCCGAGTTTTTTGCTTTCGGTGGGAGTGATTTCCTTGTGCAGATTTATATATCTAGGACTTTCCAATTGTTTATTATGAGGTAACTTTTTCGCTTGCTATCCAGGGAGTACAGGTCAAGAAACTTTAACCATTCTCAGTAAATGAGGTACTTTATTACACTTTTACATGCAGTGCAAGTTCTCTGCATATTCTTCAGGTCCTAATTTTCTCCTGCCTTGAAAGAGGCCGTTATTGCACTCCAGTCTGAAGAGAGCAAATGATTTGAAAACAATCATTATTGGTTTAGCATCCCTAGTTTTAAAGGTTCTCATTATCCGTTCTAATGTTTTCCTTGGAGATGTGGTAGAGACATTGTTGTGATCTTGGATAGTGAGATTCTTTGACATTATCATTCCAAGGTCCTTCACATTAGTTTTACACTTTAGCGTGTGGATAGAATTTGTTTTATAATTCGATCCAATTTTGATATCCTCTCTTTTCCATACCGGCATAATTGAAATTTGTCCGCTTGGAGATCTGCAGTGTCCTCAATGGATGACATTCATGTAAATTATGGTATCGACAGGAAAGGAGGACGCGGTGCTGTAGAGTACTGTACCTTGTGGAACAAAGCTTTTCAATGTAGCCGCCTCTGGTTTTACTGTTTACTATTGTTCTTTGTATTCTATTTGTTATTATGTTATAGGTCCATCTACTCACTTTTCCTGTTATTCCTTTTTCATACATTTTGTGTGCTATTACACAATGATCGCACTGGTCAAAGGCTTTTGCAAATTCTGTGTATACTACATCTGTGGTGTGTTGGTCTTCCAGTGTATTCAAGACCGTTCACAGTGTCTGCTCTTTAAAGTAGCGGCCTGGAATGCTGGCTGTTTGGAGGAACATCTAAACCGTCCTATCTGAGAGCCTCTGCAAAAATAGTGATTAGGTGTGAATGATGGTGAAAGTGTTTAATGAAGGTGAAAGTATTTCTTTTTTGGGTCACCCTGCCTCGGTGGGAGAAAGCCGACGTATCTATATACAGTATGTCGTGCCGAATAAGTAAAATTTGCGATTTTGACTTAAATAGCAACGCACCTCTTGCCGAATAGGTAAAGGGAAAATTTGTGTATGCAATAATTTCGCAAAAAATCATTCTGAATCTAACGAAAAATATATATTTCGTTGTGTTTGTTTGCTATTAATTATTGTAAACTTGTATAAGATATATTTAGCTGAAATAGGCTAAATTAAAATGCGCTTGTTATAATAAGGTTAGGAAAGTTTCCTAATTTTTTTTTGGTACAAAATCATAATTTTTATATAAACATTAATGAAAATAAATATATCTTTAAATGTACAAGAGGAATTTTTAGAAAGGACTAATTTTAAATGAGTTCCCGCTAATTGACCAGTTTTACCTATTCGGCAGGCCGGACTTGAGTCCTGGAGATGGGAAGTACAGTGTCTGCACTCTGAAGGAGGGGTGTTAATGTTGCAGTTTTATAACTGTAGTGTAAGCGCGCCTCTGGCAAGACAGTGATGGAGTGAATAAAGATTGGTAACCGTTGATGCAGAAGCTTCTGAATAACAAGCATATTTCTTGAAGAGACAGTTTCCTTAGGTTAATTGGTTAAGTCCTGTTGATTTTCTTTGTTGTTAGTAGTGTCACCTTATCAAAATCTTTGGAATATCTTAATCAGTAAGTAATTTAAAAAATCTTCCCTATTTCCTTTTCGAGGAAGTCAAGTAATAAGATATATGTTGCTGTCTGGAATATTGTAAGAAAAAAAATTTCTCTTGACCGTCTTTCTCTTTATTGTCTAAATAATCATGAATATATGAATTTACTTTAGTGATTTTATTGTGAACTGCAAGTTTAAATTTCCTATATTTTCTTCGAATTAAAACATTGTGGATGTTGGTGTATCCTTTTAAGTCAAGTGGAAGCTTAATCAAGGCAGACAACACTTTAAGTCTGTGTAAGAAACTATCCACTTTTTTGTCATTCCGCCAATGAGAAATGACATCAACATATCTTACACATAATGCAGAACTATGTGGGATATCATTAAGATGTTGATGTGGAAAATTGCATTTATCTGAATGTATCATTATGTACATAACAGTAAATGAACACAGACAATTATTATTTATCAGTTAGACAAGTAGGAATTTGGGACACCTAGGTCGCAAAAAATGTCCCCCTTCGATACCTACCACTGTCATATCCACAAGTTGTTCTGGACCTATTAATTACAAATGAAATATGTATCACCAGGAATACTGGTAAATATATAAATTTGTGGACTGTATATTAAAAATAATAAATGGTTTTATGTATATTCACAATTACATAACAGAAGGAAAATATATCTTAATATCACTCACCAATTTGACTGGAGATTAATGTGGCATGTATAGGATTCCCCCTTCTGCCTACATTTATGAAAAATTTACTGGCCAGAATTTAAACATAAATTAGACAGCTTATCTGAGGTTCCTAGAGTTGTCCTGTCCTGTCGCCTGATACTCAATTTTTGCAGGAATGCACATCCAACAATTTCGCCTCCTATTTGAAAGGTGTCAACCCAATTTTAACCTCTAGAGCACGAAAAATTCTTCCCAACACTAACGTTCTGTTCAATTCAAACAGCAATGGCGACTGTGCTTCTGCGCAGGTGCAGCTTCCAGGTTTCGGTAACATAAATTTTATTAAATACAGTATGGCCATCTATTTACATATAACTACTGTATTTCTGGAAAATATATACAGTATTTTCCACAGTTGAGTTCCCATGAATTTCATAGAAATTGTGTATAAATCTAGAGAATACAGTTTGTTAATCAACAAGTCTGGCTTTATTCATAGTACTTCCCATCAAAGACAAATTTTTCAGTCAACTATACAGAGCATAATTATGTAAAGAGCAATACTCTCAGCGTGTAGCATCGGAAACTTGTACACTTGTCATCTGGTAGGATTGGTAATAATGTGAGACATGGACCCTAGTAAATACCATTGTAACATTAATACTTTTCAAGGTAAAATTCGCCTTTAATCCAACCAATGAAGTTATTCAATAAGATTCACGTTATTTATCCACCACCATTGTTAAAGATTAAACATTTCGAAAGATTATTTGCAGCCTACCCTACGGTGGTAATGATTAGGCTTGATTGAATTCCCTGGTTTATCTCTTAACTAACCAATGTAACTATGGGAGAGTTGCTGACCACGACAACTTCAAAATTAGTTAATCGTTTCTATTGAACCTTTAATTGCTTGTTAAAAAAAATTATTAATCTGGTCCAAAAAGTACATAATAAAAGGAACTAACGATTCATATTCATTAAATAAATAATTACTTTTTATTAATATATTCCACTTGGTGGTATATTACATTAGAATAGTCCGCCTTAATAAGTCTTAAATTGCGATCCATTTTAAGGTTAAGTTAGGCAGTGAGCAGTTAAGTTATGCAGTGAGCAGTTAAGTTATGCAGTGAGCAGTTAAGTTATGCAGTGAGCAGTTAAGTTATGCAGTGAGCAGTTAAGTTATGCAGTGAGCAGTTAAGTTATGCAGTGAGCAGTTAAGTTATGCAGTGAGTAGTTAAGTTATGCAGTGAGCAGATAAGTTATGCAGTGAGCAGTTAAGTTATGCAGTGAGCAGTTAAGTTATGCAGTGAGCAGTTAAGTTATGCAGTGAGCAGTTAAGTTATGCAGTGAGCAGTTAAGTTATGCAGTGAGCAGTTAAGTTATGCAGTGAGCAGTTAAGTCACCAGTCGAAGCATTGCACCATCAAACATTCCTATCTAAATGTTAAAACCTTCGGGGGTTGTTAAACAGGATTCTTCTGAAGATTGTAACATGATTTAGCAAGACTGACATAGTTAAGGTGATCCAGAGTCTAAAAGCTCCTTTAATTATTTAATTGTTTACGAGAAATATTTACGACAACTTTTGAGAAGTAAGGTAACAATAAGAAAAGTCTAGAAATAGTGAGAGAATAAAAAACAACTATGAGAAAATATTAAAAATAATTCAAAAAAGTTAGAATAAGAATATGATTAACAAGAGAGGAAATATACCTAATCCTCAATTAAAAAATTATAATGTAACTTGTATTATTAAATAAATAATTGTTTAGATGCAAAATTTTACTGAAGTAAATTTAAATAGAAAGCATCAATGTAGTTATTAAATCTTATGATGACAAATAAATTTCCTTGCTGTTTTTGTCAGTATCTAGGTTGCCAGAACTGATTGATTATACACTTGCTAGTAGAGTTTCAACGTTAATAATATATAATAAGAGAAAGCCAGGAATATTAAATTAATGTAGAATCTGAAATATTACCATATTTGGGCTGTTTCAGTTAACAAAAACACTGTTTACCTACCAAGCACTTGTGATGTTTGCACAAACTCCACACAAACAATTGCAGCAAATAGAAACTTCCCAGCTAACGGGATCATTTTCATCTTTGCCTCACTGCTGAAAGCAAACACAATTCATGTATTTGTAAGCTTATGTGTGTAAACAAGTAAACAAATGAAGAATTAGACACATGTGCAACATCTGGGAATCTTTAT